GTAAGGATTTCGGCCTCATGGAACTTTAAAATATAACCGGGTCCCGTCGAACGATCTGCAACATGAGATCTAGCGTCTTTCCTTCTCAGCGTGCTCAGCCAGCAGTGGTCGCTAGAGTCACTAATTGTAACATGCTTGGGGTCGCGTGACCACTAGAAATACTGCGCACCTCATGCCTCTATTACCCTTCGACTCTCTCTGAGGATGGGTTCGAGTGAGAATCCGAAACCTTCTTGTTACGGGTCATAATTTGGTCCACGGCTGTCTTCTTAATTTGGAGGACAAAAGTAACACCTTTGAAAAGAGACGGATGCGATGGCTGGACCAAGAACTTTATTCGTCTGACGTTTTGCATTCCATTGCGGATCCATCCTCAGCAACAATAGCACATCTCATGCAGAGCAACGATTGCTTGAAACATTTTGTATGTTGCGTTGTGACTTGGTTTACTTAGCGAGCCGTCGAACGCAAAGATAGTATCCGATTGCACTTTAGCGAGTAGATTTTTCCAGTCAACTCCTGTTGTGCACGAGACGCATAAATTTGCATTGAACGTTTGATTTTGGGTGCAAAAAATAGTCTGGAGAAGCGGAGCGTTCGTTTGCCATCCTCCTTTCAGGATGTATTCGCGAAAATGACGTCGGAAAGCAGTGTCTCGATGGCAAAACGTTCGGCTGAATGATCAGCGAATCCAGATCCTAACTATTTTTGTCCTTCCGATCAGGGATTGTTTTATAGTTCGTTATCGACGAACAATAAGACAAAGATGGCCAGTAAAGCCTACCATATCTTTTTTCGTAATTTTCATCCATAATTGCTCACATATGGCTTCCACTCAAGCTGTTACGGGGTCTTGTAGTTGCTAGAGACCAGGCATGGAGGCACTATCTGATAAAATGTGGAAGGCTAGCTCGGTCATTTCCCGCCCTTTTGAGGTCCGGGCCTAGCAACACCCCACTCCGGTGCGAAAACTGGAGATTGGGCAGGAAGCGGAATTTCACGGTCTTGTCTGTAGATCTGTGCGAACACGTCTCCTATTCGTGTTTACGATGTTCCCAAATACATTTGAATTTCTTCTTGCATATAAGTGATAAGACCTGTGGATACACTGTGTTCAACTGCCCCCTTTTTCGTTCTTTGTTGAAGTATGATTATGCCACGCACACAGGAAAATGCAGTAGGCAGCAAATAAAACAAAACAATGGTTTTTCATTTTTTTTCCAGGCTCCGTGCTTATGTAGCTTATTCACTGTTAGTACAAAGATACTAAGATGCACTTCCAGGGGACAAATAAGTGACCGTATGCCCAGTTTGAATTTATTTGAAGTGAACCCCAGTTTTGTTTTCTGTATGCCTGTCTTCCGCAGTCTGTCCATCTGCTCCACCAACCGGAATTCAATCCACATGTCGTCTTCGTTGCTGCCCCACCCTTCGAGACCGCCAAGGCGATGATGGAGAAGGGAATTCGTGATAATTTGACGACTAATCGACGCTCGGTAATACTTCCATACACACAATTCTCCATATATCTAACCGTAGACCTCCTGAATGAAAATGCAGTTTACTATCACTGTTTTAGTGAGGCTATTGAAACGTAACTCTTCGTCTCTGTGCTGAACATTTTTCGGGATTTTATTTGTTTTGTAAACTATTCCTCACTGAAGACTGAAGCTTTTGAGTTTTCGCGTCTTTCCCTCACATATTACGTACACTTTAATACGTACTTCTACCACCCTTTTAATCGCCTAGAACGTAGACTTTAGAATAAATTTGACGCAAATGATAGGAGGCCATTTCCCTCTGAACACTCACATTTGTCATCTCGTTCACCTCTGCTCATCCATTTGGTACTCTTACATGAGATCGTATGTTCGTCGCTGTAATCAAACATGTATATTACTTTAGCGAAGAAGGTATTCGTGAGACTGACTATTTTAGTGAGTGTTCTGTCAAGACTGCTTCCTCAGTTCGTTATGGGAAGTGTTTTAGCACACAAAGTAAATAAGTGTCAAGGAAATGTTAAAAGGGACTGTATGGTTACTTTAGTTCCCCAGAGTGTATAAGTGAAATGTGTCACCATTGTCAGTTCCTCGGTGTCCTATTTTCTATCGGGATTTTATCGGTGGTACTCTGAGCACTCTTTAACTGGCAGCCGTTAAGGACATCTTCCCTCCCTCCTCACCATAGCCGAGTTTGCATTCTCTTTGCATTTCAACCTGAGAAACTGAGATTTTAAAAAAAATTGCACTATGTTTTTTTCTTAATTTTCAGGATGAGGAACTGCAGGCACTCGTGGAGGAGTCTAAAACCTTTGCTGTTCGTCATCAGCACCTCTTCACACACACCCTCGTCAACAATGATATGACCGAGGGTGTTGGCAAACTCTCCCGTCTGGTAGCCCGTCTGGAAAAACAACCAGGCTGGATACCCGCGGGATGGGCTTACGAAATGAGTCTTCCAAAGGGGTTCGGTATGTAACTTGCCGTAGGCAGTTTTCTACGGCTGACTGAGTCGCCTTGTTGACTTGAAGCTAAGCATTTACTTGTTCACCCAGCCGATGAATTCTAGATTGCTTGCTTAGGAAATTCCGCTTGGGCAGTCAGCTTACTGCATCAGTATCGGTCCAGTCCATACGTTGCAGTAGGTTGGGCGGGCAAATCGACCCAAATGTGATTAAATGCACGGCTACAGTGGGGCCTTGGTAGCTCAGTTGGCTAGAGCGTTGGCTGTTCAAAAGCCTTCCCCTTGCTGGCGTGACTTCGAACCGAACCGAGACCACCGAGTTTTTCAAAATTTGGTCAAGCAAATTATATTTTGCATGCCATCTCAGGATGCTATGCCTCGTGATCTTAAGGATAGGTTGCGACGATTTTACTCAGCAGCCTTCAGGCAATTTTCTTCACAGACTGTCACATGATATGGGATTTTAAGAGGGGTCCAGCTGTTTCCGTTTGCATATTCTGTTGTTTTTCGTTCTGTCAGGGCAGTGTAACGTTTATGACACCTGTGAAATTTGCTATTTGGAAACCTGAAAGTGGCCAGTTCTTTGGGCGGCGCGCTTGAAGCGCTATATAAAGGCCTCAATTCCAAAAAACCCGAATTACAAGAATGTCATATATGATGGGAGTGGTCTCCTAGATATTGACTTACGATTCGAGCATTTCATGTTTTACAAAGTGTTACTTTTTTATTTATAAGTAGGTGTTTTAAGGTCGACAATTTATTTTGTGTTTTATCCTATTAGGTGCAGCCGGAAGGAGGAAAGAATTCATGCCAGGTGACAGCACCCTCTCGGGCCTAGGTATCCCCGGTCTACCGCCAAATGCCCAATCTGTCATTGGGCGTTCTAACATGTCAGTCCTTTCTGTGGTATCGCACGAGTCCGCGGCACGATTGGCTCGCCCACCTAGCATCTGTAGCTCCATCCAGTTGCCCTCGCACAACGTATCCGGTCGACGGCTCTACGAGAAGCGCAGTCAGCGTGGCCGCGATTTTCAACCTATGAATCCACCAATTCCAGAGCAGTCGCCCTCTAACTCTTCAAGAAACCCCTCGATATCGGATGATCTAGATCGACGTCAGGCCCCGGGGAGGGTGGCACACAAACCTGAACCTCTTCAAACCACAGTAAGTTTCTAAAAATAAATACAACGAGAGAGAGAGAGCAAGCGAATACGTCTTTATGAACCCCTTAACTTTCAATAGCCCACCTCCCTCACAGCTGAGCATATGAAATGCCATCATATCTTCGATTCAGTTATCGTTTTTTTTGCAGCGCTCGTGTTGAGTGCACTGGAACCAATCACTTCTAGGCCATAGTTATGCTATATAGTCGGACCTAGAAGGTCTTCAATCCAAGGAAAATGTGTTTTGGAAGTCAGTTCTATTCAAAAGCGTTGCCTGTTGGTGGTTGAGCCATTCTATGGCAAAAGCTACAGAATGTTCGTGTAACGGAGTATGTAGGTGTCACGTAAATTTCGAACAATTACTATTTATCCCAGTTCAAACAGAATCCAGGAAAGACTGGAACTGAGCCTGCCAAAGTTGCGATCACTGGAAACAGGTTAATTGGCTCACCTTTTCGACTTCTCACTCAAATCTATCATTCGAGACGGTTGCTGCCGATGGGTTTGAGTTAGAGTCCGAAACGTCAGACTAATAAACCTTCTCCCTCTGATTTAGCGCACCTTTGGCAGTCTCAGTTT